TGTTAACCAATGTCATAAAACAATATGTGTACTACTGTTTAACGAGAAACTATTTGTTCTGTAAACCTTTACCTGAAATACAATAAAAAAGAAAAAGAAAAAAAAAAAACAATCTTTGTTGGTTACGACGGATGGGAGGGATGGCGGGGGACTAAATAGACAATAGATAAGTGGTAATTTTGGTGAAGGGTAAGACAGTATACAATACTGGAGAAGCCAGCACAACTTGTACAAGAAGAGGTCATGGAACCTCCACAGACACTTCCAAACTCCCTGAGGGACTGAATTGCTGGGCATAGGGCTCTGGGGACCGTGGTCTTGGGGAACATCTAGCTCAGTTGGCATAACACAGTTTATAAAGACACTGTTCTGCATTCTACCTTGGGGAGTAGCGTCTGGGGTCTTAAAAGCCTGTGAGCAGCCATCTAAAATACTCCACTGGTCTCACTCCTTCAGGAGCAAGGTAGAATGAAGAGAACAAGATACATGGAAAAGATTAGTCCACAGGACTAATGGACCACAGCTACCACTGCCTCCACCAGACTGAGTCCAGTCAGCCAGATGGTGCCTGGCTACCACCTATGACTTCTCTGACTGGGATCATAACAGAGGGTCCTGGACAGAGCTGGAAAAGGATGTAGAACAAAATTCTAACACACACACAAAAAAAGACCAGATTTACTGGCCTGTCAGACTGGAGAAACCCCGAGAGTATGGCCCCCGGACACCATTTTAGCTCAGTGGTGAAGTCACTCCTGAAGTTCACCATTCAGCTGGGGATTGGACAGCTTCATTAAACAAAACTGGAGTAACGAGGCACAGCAGTCCAGGGACAAGGACTAGAAGGCAGGAGGGGACAGGAAAACTGGTGATAGGGAACCCAAGGTTGAGAAGGGATAGTGTTGACATGTCGTGGGGTTGTTAACCATTGTCATAGGGCAATATGTGTACTGACTTTAATGAGAAACTGTTCATTCTGCAAACCTTCATCTAAAGTACACACACAAAAAAAGAATTATCTATGTGAGATCAAATTGACAACAGCAACTCAAAAGGTTTGATGGCAAGCCTAGGGGGCAGTGAGTTGAAGATAATGGTGATGGAATAATTTGGAAAAGGATAGTGAGAATAGCAGCACAACTGGAAGAATGTAATCGATGTCACTGAACTGTACATGTAGAAACTTTTGAAATGGTGTAACTTTGGCTATGTATATTTTCACCAAAAAAAAGGTCCTCCAGGGTCAAGAAGGGAGAGTGTTGACATGTTGTGGGGTTGTTAACCAATGTCATAAAACAATATGTGTACTGAGTGTTTAATGAGAAACTATTTGTTCTGTAAACCTTTATCTAAAGTACAACGACAACAACAAAAAAACACAATCCAGTCTTGTAGACTGAGTCCTGCCTCGTTCACATAACTGCCACCAATCCCATCTCATTAATATCATAGAGATAGGATTTACAACACATAGGAAAATCACATCAGATGACAAAATGGTGGACAATCACACAATACTAAGAATCATGGCATAGCTAGGTTGATACACATATTTTTTTGGGGACACAGTTCAACCCATGACAGCATCTAACAATAAAAACAAGTGTACAGCATATACTTGAATGTAATAAGACTGTTTCCTTTTGGGAATATCTTCAAAGCTGATTTTCTTTAGACTAAGAGTACTTCTTCAATTAGTATGAATTAGAGACCTTTTGTCATACTTGGTTTCTAGTAATCTTTATTGAAACAGCTTTCTTGATTTTGAGAAAAGGTATATACTCACTGTAAGAAAAATTAAATAAAATAGAATGAACAGAGAAAATACACATTGCCTAAAGTCTCACCATCTAGACTTAATCACTTCTAACATTTGGTGAGCATACGTCTGGATTTCTTTCTATATATATATATTCTCTGCACACATAAAAACACATCCACAATTTATGTAATTAGTATGATACTATTCTGTTCCTTGTGTCTGATATCCTTGCATATTAGTTATCTTCATTATCAGTTTAATGTCTGCATAGTAACTTGTGAGTATGTGTTTGTATGTGCATAATTTACTTAGCCAGTTTCTCTATTAATGGATAAATGTTTTTGTGCACATATCTTTTTGAATTTTTATAGTTATATTCTTGGGGTAAATTCTAGCAGTAAGATTGCTGGATCAAAAGTCATATACATTTTTGTGTATTTGTGCCTGTGTGTGTATTGCAGTTTGTGTGTGTGTGTGTGCATGTGTGGCCATGTGTATATCAGTTTGTGTGTGTATATATATACAAATGTATATATATATATAAACTGTCTTTTAGAAGGATTGTGTCAATTTACATTTCCAAACAACAGCACAACACAGCAAAATCAGGATTACAATTTTGACCTGGATTGGATTAAATATTACAAGCTGATAGTTTATGCAACATGCATAATTTTACCCACAAATAATGTTAGTACATATATGTGTACACACGTAAAATCTGTGAATTTTATTAAATATTTATGAGACCTCAAATTTTGGTTCTGAACTTGCAAAAAATGTTTACTGATAACTGATTTTAGAAACTTAGACCAAAACATCAGTAATGGTTTACACATTTTTGTATATTTTTCTGATTAAATAATACATTCTATTATCATTTACTCCACACTGCCATCAGGTCAATTTTGACTCATGGCGACCCTACAGGGTAGAGTAGAAGAACTGCCCCATGTGGTTTCCAAAGGAGCCCTGGTGGCACAATGGTTGAGCACTCAGTTGCTGGCCGAAGGGTTGGTAGTTTGAGCCCAGCAGTTGCTTCTTGGGAGGGGGATGTTGTAGTCTGCTTCTGTAAAGATTTGCAGCCTTGGAGGCCCTGTGGGGCACTTCTACTCTGTCCTCTAGGGTCGGCATGAGTTGTAAGCAACTGGACGGTAAGAGATTTTATTATCCTTTAATAACTACTAAATTCCAAGGATATATCAGATGTCATCTTCCTTTCTTTAGACCAAGGTTGTTAAGATGTTTAAAAGCAAATAATTTTAAAAGTTACCGACATACTCTCAGAGTTTTGTGAAGTAAAGCTCTTAAGCATTAATGGGAAACATTTTATTTTTTTCCCTAGCCCTTCTTAATCTTTTGAAATTGAGGTTGCTTAGATTCATTTTCTTTTCTTCTTGTGCTTCATGAATGCAGTTCACTTTTCCATATCCTTCCTCCTGACTTTTGTATTTAATCTATAACATTCTAGTATTCCTCTTGGGTCTTTTGCCTTCAAAAACGGATTCTTTTTTTTAACATTTTATTGTGTTTTTGGTGAAGGTTTACACAGCAGTTTAGGTTCCTGTCATGGATTGAATTGTGTCCCTCAAAAATATCTGTCAGCTTGGCTAGGTCATGATTCCAAGTATTGTATGATTGTGTAATCTGATATGATTTCCTTATGTGTTAAAAACTCTATCACTATGATGAGGTTACACTGATGAGGTTTACAAGATCAGATAGTGTCTTAATCCAGTCTCTTTTGAGATATAAAAGAGAGAAGTGAGCAAAGATGCATGGGAAACTCATACCACCAAGAAAGCAGTGCCAGGAGTACAGCGCGTCCTTTGGACCTGAAGTTCCTGTGCTGAGATGCTCCCAGACTAAAGGAAGACTGATGCTTCACAAGGACCTTCCTCAAGAGCTGACAGAGAGAGAAAGCCTTCTGGAGCTGATGCCCTGAATTTGGACTTGTAGCCTACTGGACTGTGAGAGAATAAATTTCTGATTGTTATAACTATCCACTTGTGGTATTTCTGTTAGAGTAGCACTAGATGACTCAGACAGTTCCCATTTAACAATATCTATACAAGTTGTTCAGTGACATTGGTTAAATTCTTCACAATGTGTGAACATTCTCATTATTTCCGTCTGGTTGTTCTGTTTCCATTATTCTAGTTTCCCTGCCCCTTTACATTCTCATCTTTGTTTTAAAGTAATTGTTGTTCATTTGGTCTCATGCAGGTAATTTTTAAAGGAACACAGTACTTATAGGTGATATTCATTATTTTTTTGAGCCAGTTTGTTATTTAGCGACAAGTTGACTTCAGGGGTTAGTTTCGGTTGGAGGTTTGAAGAGTACCTGAAGACAATAGTCTTGGGGAGTCCTCCAGTTTCAACCAGTCCAGTAGGTCTCATTTCAAAAATGAATTCTTAATATGAATGGCTTTTTGTCCATAAAATTAACAGATCCTCATTGTTTTAAAGCCGTTTTGCTTAACGGCCTTCACAAGGCAAATACAGTAATTTCCAGGGCTGCTACTTTTATTTGTGAACACATTTAACTTTGTTCAGCTTTGGCTTCCTTAAGGGACAGTTTGTGATCCAGCTGATTAATTACATCTCATTGTTTACTTTTCCTTCCTTGTCTTTACATATTGTTCCCTGGCCTTTTCTCTGATCTTATTAGTCTCTGCTTTGCTTCCTCCTGGGATGACCTCTTCTTTCATACTGGTATCTCAGTCAGGACAGATGTCATAACCCCCTGCTGTCCAGTTGATTCCGATTCATAAGGAGGATACAGTGGAGCTGCCCCATGGGGTTTATAAGGCTGTAGTCTTTGAGGAGGCAGACTGCCACATCTTTCTTCCATGGAGTGGCTGGTGGGTTCAAATCTCTGACCTTTCGGTTGGCGGGTGGGTGCTTTGTCACTGTGCCACCAGGGCTCCTGACAGATATATTATTTAATAACTGCTTGGTTTTGTGCTCACTTCAGCAGCACATACACTAAAACTGGAACAATACAGAGAAGATTAGCATGGCCTCTGCACAAAGATGACATGCAAATTTGTGAAGCGTCCCAAATTTTTAAAACATTCTTTGATGGTTACGAGGGTGGAGACAGAAGGAGAGGGTTATTCACTAACTAGATAGTAGACAAGAATTATCTTAGGTGAAGAGAAGGACAACACACAATACAGGGAAAGTCAGCACAACTGGACTAAACCAAAGCTAAGAAGTTTCCTGAATACAACCAAACATTTCGAGGGACAGAGTAGCAGGGGCAGGGGTCTGGGTACCATGCTTTCAGGGGACGTCTAGGTCAATTGGCATAACAAAGTTTATTAAGAAAATATTCTATATTCTACTTTGGTGAGAAGCATCTGGGATCTTAAAATCTAGCGAGCAGCCCTCTAACATGCATCAATTGGTCCCAACTCACCTGGAGTAAAGGAGAATGAAGAACACCAAAGACACAAGGAAAGTATTAGCTCAAGAGACAGAAAGAGCCACATAAACCAGTGACTGCATCAGCCTGGGACCAGTAGAACTAGATGGTGCCTGGCTACCACCAATGACCGCCCTGACAGGGAACACAACAGAAAGTCCCTGACCGAGCAGGAGAAAGGTGGGGTGCAGAACTCAAATTCTAGTAAAAAGACCAGACTTAACGGTCTGACTGAGACTGGAGGAACCTTAGAAAGCATGGCCCCCGGATTATCTGTCAACTTAGAACTAAAACCATTCCCAAGGCCAACTCTTCAGACAAAGATTAGACTGGACTATGGGACATAAAATGATACTTGTGAAGAGTGTGCTTCTTAGCTCAAGTAGATACATGAGACTAAATGGGCAGCTCTTGTCCGGAGGTGAGATGAGAAGGCAGCCAGGGTCAGGAGCCGGTGAATGGACACGGGAAATCAAAGGTGGAAAGGAGGAGTGTGCTGTCACAGCATAGGGAGAGCACCTAGGGTCACATAAAAATGTATGTATAAAATTTTTATGAGAGACTAACTTGAATTATAAACTTTCACTTAAAGTACAACAATAAAATTGAAATAATAATAATTGCCTGGTTTTTATAACTAAATATAAAATTTTGCATGCATTCTGTTTGACTTTACATGTCTTCAAAAAGCCTTTATACTACCTGAAAATCTTACTGGATTGCCTTTTTTTAAAAAAAATAATTTTATTATGGTAAAATATATATAACATAAAATTTGCCACTTTCACCATATTTTTAAGTGTACAATTCAAGGCATTGATTACATTCACCTTCTTGTGCAACCATCACCACTATCTACTTCCAAAACTTTTTCATCATCCCAAAAAGAAACTCAGCAACCCATAAGCAAAAACTCCCCATTCCTCCCTGCCTTCCTGGATTGTCTTTTAAATTCCCCTCAGAATCTCTGTGTTGCAGGCCAGCAATCGTCAAAGTGCATGTATTTATAATTAGTCTCTTAACCATCTACCATTAACCATCTGATTAATTTCTCACTAGCAATTAACAGTAGTCCCTGGGTGGTGCAAACGGTTAATGTTCTCAGCTGCTAACTGACAGGTTGGAGGTTTGAGTCTACCCAGAGGTATCTTGGAAGAAAGGCCTGCCAATCTACTTCTGAAAAACCAGCCATTGGAAACCCTGTGGAGCACAGTTCAACTCTGACACATGCGAGGTCACCACGACTCTGAATCAACTAATGGCAACTGGTTTAGTAATTTTTAAAAAAGAGAATATTTGTTTAATACTGAAAAATGTTTCTCAGTAAATAGATAAATATTGTTGTCATGGATTGAATTGTGTCCCCCAAAAATATGTGTATGAATTTGACTATGCCATGATTCCCAGTATTGTGTGATTGTCCACCATTTTGTCATCTGATGTGATTTTCCTATGGGTTGTAAATCATATCACTATGATGTAATGAGATGGACTGGCAGCAGCTATGTTGATGAGATCTACAAGACTAGATTGTGTCTTAACGTAATCTCTTTTGAGATATAAAAGAGGTAAGCAAGCAGAGAGACATGGGGACCTCATAACCACCAAGAATCAAGAGCCAGGAGAATAGCGTGTCCTTTGGACCCAGGGTTCCTGTGCTGGGAAGCTCCTAGTCCAGGGGAAGATTGATGACAAGGACTTTCTTCCAGAGCTGACAGAGAGAGAAAGGCTTCCCCTGGAGTTGATGCCCTGAATATGGACCTCTAGCCTACTAGACTGTGAGAGGATAAACTTCGGTTTGCTAAAGCCAAAAAAAAAAAAATTAATTTCCACTTCTACTGCCTGAGAAAGCCTATTTTCACCCATGTTCTCTCATCGTGGGGTTTTCTTAATCTTGAACAATTTGCTTGGTATCTGGTGTCTCATGTTTTTTATCAGTATTTCTTTAACTATCAATGGGTTGTCTTGACGACTTTCGCATAGCGGTTAAGGGCTTGGCTGCTAACCAAAAGGTCAGCAGTTAGAATCCACTAGCTGCTCCTTGGAAATCCTATGAGGCAGTTCTACTCTGTCCTATAGGGTCGCTATGAGTTGGAATTGACTTGACGGCAACAGGTTTTTTTGGCTGATGAATTTGAGTAGTAGTACACAATTCACTTTGCACTAAAAATTCCTTTGACAAAGCACAATGCAAGAGATGCAGAACTGACTACAGATCATGAAACAGAACCCATCAGACCTTGGTTTACTTTAGTGTTACGTGTATCTTAAGCTTAGATCAATGGTGTAAAGAAACATATATAAACAATTTTCCATAAGATAATATAGCACCTAATCAGATGTATTGGAAAGAGAGCAGTACTGTTATTACAGAGTTATAGTACCAAATGTTATGAATGGTTTTACCAGAAGATCAGTTGGAAAGATTTGATTTTCCCAGGCAAAGGGCAACTATTTAAAACAATACATATGAAGCCTCTCATATCTAGGCTCCATCAACTGTGCTTGAATTCTTTTGATAGTTGCCTCAGTCAAATCATAACATTCATGAATATTTCGTTCCACAAGAATTTATTGAGGCACTTTCTAAGGCACTGTAGAAAATGAGTTAAAAAATAGTGTCTCTGCCCTTTTGGAGATTATATTTTAGTGGGAGAGACATCAATAAATAAAATATATAACAAAATGCCTGGTTTAGGGTAAGCAAAAGAAAACTGGGTGGCCAAAGGTGGCTTTTATGACTACATAACACTTTTGCAGAGACATGAATAAACGTTTATGCCAAGCAAGTCTGGGTCAGGAGGTGGGGGTGTATAGAGAGAACCCTCATATATCTGATACCTTACTTTCATGGTCCACTGTCAGCCTAAGAGCCATATCAAGAATGGTGTGTCTTGTGCCTTTACATTTTATGTAACAACTCCATGTTGTGTATAGCTAATCGGAATATGGGATAAGTGTACAAGTGTTGGCTGTCCTTCTCCACTTGGGATGATTACATTCTATGCTATGGAGGCAGAGTGGGGTCCTGTAAGGTTCCTTCCAACAAAAACTTTTTTTTCTTTCAAAGATCGAAACACATAAACCCAGATTACTTTTTATTGTTATTAACTTTAAACCATTAACTGAGACAGGAGCGTGGGGCTCTGTGAGGCTAGCCCAGCAAAGTCATCTTGTAAAATGGCTGTCTACTAAACCTGCTCCTCCAGGATACCTTTAGGGAATGTGGCCTGCTTCCACGGCTTTCTTATCTGGACATCTAGCCGGCTACTACAATGCTGACCTTGCATGAGGAATGATGGAAGGACACGCAATGCACCAAGGACATCTGTGAACCAAGGAATTAGAAGGAAAAAAAAAATACAAGGTTACTTGTTGTTGTACTACTAGCATGCCAAAAATTCAAAGATGGAAAACTTGTGGCATGTAAGCTAAGCGTTAAGACAGCAAGTCTTACTTGCAAAGTTAGATGATATTTCAGTTTGGGGTCACTTGAATACTTAACCAAGCCAAACCAAACCATTTGATGAATGAAGAGCAGCATTTAAATTCTGATCTAGAGAAAGAATGAATTACACTGATGTATTCTCAAATTTGAATCTTGAACATGTGCTTTGGTAGTCCCTGAGCTTATTTTTCGAGGTGCAACAGAAATTTGGTTTAATGAGTGTACCTATCTTTAACACGATATTATATTTTTGCTTACAAGCTTCCTCATACTAATTAAGCACACACAAGGGCTGAATGCAAAATTGTATCTTTTAGTAATTATGAAACATGTTGTGTTGATGATACACTACCTAACACTAGTTAAGAACTATTATGATATGCATCTTCTTATTTCTAGCATTTCCTTGGTCAGAATTTTTTCACAGCTCTCTTTGGTAATTAAATGCTTATCTATTGATTTTACAGGAGTATTCTTTTACTCTCCCTGGAACGTACAAAACTAGTATGGTGTGTTTGCAAGATACTTAAAATGTGCTTTTGGAGTGAGTTCTGGAAGTTCTTTGAATTTATGGTGCTAGATATAACAGCAGAATTTCATAACTACAGTATATCTGGCTTCTTATTCAAAACAACACAGTAGTCAAATGACTCATAATATGGGGTTTTCCCCTTTTCCAGGAATTTTTGCCTCTGAGGTAGATTTCCAAGGTTGTTAGTCAAATACAAGAGAAGCACGTGGTGAAGGGGAGTGGAGTCAGTCAGAAGCACCAGATTCTGGTTGTTTCTGCAGAGCATTAGTGACCGTGGACAAATCCCTAACATCTCAGCTTCCTTATCTCTTAAAACCAGGGGTTTAATTGGTCACCTAATAAAGGCCCTTCAAATAAGAACAATTAATAAACTTAACGTAAAATAAGATTTCACACTGTTTTTACCAGGCATTTTACTTGCAAGGGCAAACCTTAAATTTTTCATTTTAGAAAACCTGAGTGACTATGCACAAAAAAGTACTAAAATGATTCAAGAATTAACGAAGTCATCAGAGACATTATTCATTTGCCATGCAAACAGAAGTTCAAAGTACACCTCTGCATCTTACATCCTTAAGAGAATGATTAATTCCAGTTCTCTCAACCTCACATCCAGCGTCCCTGTGACCGCAGACCTTTGGTTCTATTTCTACATAAGACCAAACGGGTGGGGCTGAAAGAACTCCAATTCTTAACATTTATTTTAGGTTAGCCACTCTGTGAAAGCTCAGAGGTGAGAGTATAGATCTGGCAGTATTCCGTGGTGGGTGCTCGCAAGATTCCTGACAGGCTGACTCAGTAACTCTGAATCTGAAGGGAAACGTGCCACTCGTGGAGATGAAAGGCTACTCCCTGTAAATTCCTTGACCAAAAAAGGGTGCCCATCTCAAATGTGGAAATCCTGGTGGCATAGTGGTTAAGAGCTACGGCTGCTAACCAAGAGGTCGGCAGTTGAATCCACCAGGCGCTCCTTGGAAACCGTTTGAGGCAGTTTTACTCTGTCCTGTAGGGTCGCTCTGAGTTGGAATGACTCCACGGCAGTGGGTTTTTTTAATCTCAAATGCAGGGAAGGGGGAGTGAATTCTAATTCCGCGTTTACTCTTCATTTCCCCCTACGATTTGCCGCCAGGGAAGTTAAGTCACCTCAAGGTCAGGTGGCCCGTCCTCGCGCCGCGCTCGGAGGACAGCAAGGGGCATACAGACGTCCGGAAACCCAGGCTGGGCGGGCCTAGGAAGCCGGCAACACCCCGGGCGTTGCCTCCGAACCTGTAATAATGGGTGTGGGAAATGCTTCCTGCGACACCCCTTCTTGAAGGCGCCCGCCTAACAGGGAAGGGGCTCCAGCCAGCCCCCCCTAATGACCCCTCCTCTCTTAGGCGCAGGACCTTCCACCCCAGGTGGGGGAAGGGCGTTCCCGTCCGAACGTAACCGCCGCGTCACGCCCCGCCTCTGGTCTGGACGCGTGTCGGCGGCTTCGGGGCGGAGTCGGAAAAATCTTGCAGTTCCCGTCAGTGCCGCGTTGCCAGGCGATGAGAGGAGGAGGAGGAGGGGCCGACGGGAAGAACGAGCTCGGCTTGGCACAGATGGAGCACGCGCCAAAGTCGCGGCAGCGCAGTCGCCCGTTTTCCTTTTCGGGCGGGAGAGCCCAGGTTGGAGCCGCGCTCAGCCCCACCCCTGACCCGAGCTGCGCACGCGTCTTGCGCGGGACCGCCTCCGCCCCTCGCACGGCTCGGGGCAGGTCTGCGTGTCTGGCCAGTGGTGGCGCCACAGTCGGAGCTGCCCCGGGGGTGGCGAACCGAGTGTTCTGGAGGGAAGGGTACGGGAGGAGGCGCAGGAAGAAGGAACGCGGGGGGCGGCTGCCTTGCCCGCTGCGGCTCAGGAAAATGGTGTTCGAGTCTGTGGTCGTGGACGTTTTGAACCGGTTCTTGGGGGACTATGTGGTGAACCTGGACACGTCCCAGCTCACTCTGGGCATCTGGGGAGGTAACGAGAACGCCGCCGTCCCACAATCTCACCTCCCTCCTAGTCCCCTCGCTGCCCCAGCCGGGCCCCGTCTTTTTGGGGCCCCTAGCTCCCCAGGCTCTGCCGCCTGCCCCCTGCCTTTTCGGCTCAGGTTACGTAAACCGGGTGGCCGTTTCCGAGCCTTCGCCCACGAGTTTTATTTTATCGGGTGGGTGAGGGATGAAAAGTTCCCCCTTTCCGAGCAGAACAGTGGGCTCCATGGATCTTGAGTTCAGATCCCGCCGAGGCGTCCTTTCCGCCCCGCGCCGTCCGGTTTCACCTGCGCTCGGCTAGAGGAAGCGACGAGACGCTCCCGGGTTTGGTTTCATCCCTGTCATTTTCCCCCTTGGGTTATGATGCAGGCCCCAGAGAGCCCACAGAGTGTCGCACGCTGCTTCGCATGTGAAGGCATGGTGCTGTGACAGAAGACGCCCTGCTACTTCCTTCCCTAGCCTGTTTTGGCTAAACCCAGGGTATTTTTTCGGCTCCCCCTTCAAGCTGCACAACCTGGACGCCGGGTTGCCTCCCTTCATTCGGCTGATAACCAAAAGTGAAACTCGGGTGCAGAATAACTCAAACGGTGGTTGGTTGTAGTTTCTTAGTTCACAACCTGACCAAGAACGTGTCAATTTTGTGAGGCTTTGGGATTTAGTGGGTCAGAGTGAATTACTGAATTAAAAAAAAAAAAGAAATAGGTCCGCCCTGCAACAACTCAGACCTACAAAAGACCGGAATGAACATGCACTTAAGGCTGCTGAGATGGTGAAGGACCGAAGCTTTTATTTTGTGTCAGTTTATGCTGGTGCACAGCCTTACTTAAAGCTTCATTTTTAGTGCATCCATCTGTTTTTATATTATACTTTTATTTACTTTAAACACCCATTAGAAATTAGACTGCTTTTTGAAACTAATTTCCCATGCCAATCAAAGTTAGGGTTTATTTTTTGTGTGAATAATATATTCTGATTTAAAAAGTAATTAACTGTTCTTGAACATGTACTTTCACCCTTCTAAAATACTTGTTTATCTTGATTTTTCTGGTTTATGAAATAGTGTAAACAATTAATTTTGATAAGACCTCTTGTTACCACTGTTTGGCATGTAGTAGCGTGTTAGAGTGACTGACTACAAGAACTAGAGACATCATAGTGCCAGAAATTTGCATATTGTTTAATCTGTGCTGCTTCTCAGTTGCAAAGTAAAAATAATAAAGCTTGTCTCCACCAAACCGGGAAGGAAATCTTAAGAAAACATGAGACGTGCTTTGATCTGTAATGGAAGGTTGCTTCTAAATTCAAGATAAAAGTTTGTGTAGAGGATGATTTGTCAGCAAATTTATTTATTTAAAACTTACATACAGTAAAATTCATTCTTGTGGTGTACAGCCCTGTCTTGACAAATGTGAAGGGGCATGTGCCCGCTGTCACAATCATGTTACAGAAAAGTTCCATCAACCCCCTAAAATTCCCTCTGCTGTCCCTGTGTAGTCTGCTGCCTACCCCCACACGTTTCTGCAACCACTAATCTGTCTCCATCTGTACAGTTTTGCCTTTTCCAGAATGCCATATAAATGGAATTATATAGTATGTTGCCTTTTGGGTCTGTTTCTTTCACTTAATTTCGTTTCTTCCACTTAATTTCACTTCTTTCACAAAATGCATTTGAGATTTATTCATGTGTTGAGTACATTTCTATCTATATATTTATTGTTGTGAAAATATACACACCAAAACATTCACCAGCACAACTTCTGTATTTACAATTCATTGACATTGATTACATTTTTCATGTTCTGCCACCATTATTGCTGTCCTTTTCCAAAATATTCTTCCGGCATTGACATAAACTCAGTGCCCCCTGAACAAAATCGCCCTCTTTCTCCCTCACCTGGTAGCCATTAATAATCTTTGGTTTCTGTATTTTGCTTATTTGATATAAGTGATATCATACAGTATTTATCCTTTCGTGATTGACATTTCACTCAGTGTAATATTTTCAAGGTTCATCCATGTTGTGGCATACATCAGAACTTCATTTCTCTTTACAGCTGCATAATATTCCATTGTATTTGTATACCACATTTTATCAGTTCATCTGTTGTTGGACATTTTGGTTCTTTCCACCTTTTGGCTATTGTGAAAAGTGCAATGAACATTGGTGTACAGGTTTCTGTTTGAGTTCCTGCCTTCATTTCTTCTGAGTATATACCTAGGATTGGGATTGTTGGGTCATGTGGTAATTCTGCATTCAACTGTTTGAGGAACTGCAGAAATGTTCATCCGTAGTGACTGTACCATTTTACATTCTCACCAGCAATGAATGAGGGTTCCAGTTTCTCCCCAACCTTGCCAACACTGGTTGTTTGCCATTTTTTTGATCATTGCTATTCTAATGGGGGTGAAGTGATACCTCATTGTGGTTTTGATTTGCATCTCCCTAATGGCAGTGTTATGGTTAAGCCCATTGTTGCAGCCACTGTGTCAGTCCATCTAGTAGAGGTCTTCCTCTTTCTCACTGGCCCTCCAGTTTACCAAGCATGATGTCCTCCAGGCACTGATCCTTCCTGATAACATGTTCAAAGTATGTGAGATGTAGTCTTGCCTTCCTTGCTTCTAAGGAGCATTCTGGCTGTGCTTCTTCTAAGACAGATTTGTTCATTTTGCTGAAGATCATTCAAAAGCAGCTGCAGCAGTTCATTGACAGGGAACTGCCAGAAATTCAAGCCAGATTCAGAAGAGGACATGGAACAAGGAGTATCATTGCTGATGTTAGATGGATCCTGACTGAAATCAGAGAATACCAGAAAGATGTTTACCTCTGTTTTATTGGCTATGCGAAGATATTCAGCTGTGGATCGTAACAAGTTATGGATAACACTGCGAAGAATGGGAATTCCAGAACACTTAATAGTGCTCATGAGTACCCTGTACCTAGATCAAGAGGCAGTCATTTGGACAGAACAAGGGGCTACTGCATGGTTTACAGTCAGGAAACATGTGCGTCAGGATTGTATCCTTTCACCATATTTATTAAATCTGTGTGCAGAGCAAATAATCCAAGAAGCTGGACCATATGAGTGAAGAAGAACATGGCATCAGGATTGGAGGAAGACTCATTAACAGCCTGCGATATGCAGATGACACAACCTTGCTTGCTGAAAGTGAAGAGGACTTGAAACACTGATGAAGATCAAAGACTACAGCCTCCGTTACAGATTACACCTCAACATAAAGGAAACAAAAATCCTCACAACTGGACCAATAAGCAACATCATGATAAACGGAGAAAAGATTGAAGTTGTCAGGGATTTCATTTTACTCGGATCCACAATCAACACCCATGGAAGCAGCTCTCAAGAAATCAAAAGACACATTGCATTGGGCAAATAGGCTGCAAAAGACCTTTTTAAAGTGTTAAAAAGCAAAGATGTCACCTTGAAGGCTAAGGTGTGCCTGACCCAAGCCGTGGTGTTTTCAGCTGCTTCATATGCATACGAAAGCTGGACAATGAGTAAGGAAGACCGAAGAAGAATTTGACATCTTTGAATTATGGTGTTGGCGAAGAATATTGAATATACCATGGACTGCTAAAAGAATGATCAAATTTGTCTTGGAAGAAGCGCAACCAGAATACTCCTTCAAAACAAGGATGGTGAGACTATGTCTCATATACTTTGGACGTGTTATCAGGAGGGATCAGTCCCTGGAGAAGGACATCATGCTTGGTAAAGTAGAGGGTCAGTGAAAAGGAGGAAGACCCTCAATGAGATGGATTGACACAGTGGCTGCAACAATGGACTCAAGCATAACAATGATTGTGAGGATGGCGCAGGACCAGGCAGTGTTTTGGTCTATTGTACATAGGGTCACTATGAGTTGGAACTGACTCGATGACACCTGACAACAGCAACAACTATGGCAGTGTTTTAGAGCTCAGCTGCTAACCAAAAGGTCGGCAATTTAAATTCACCAGCCTCTCCTTGGAAACCCTATGGGGCAGTTCTACTCTGCCCTATGGGGTCTCTATGAATTGAAATCGACTGGATGGCAACGGATTTGGTACGGGTTAGTGACTAATTTTTATAGGAGCAACTCAACAGGTCTTCCTTCCACACAGCCACCGGGTGGCTTCGAATCACCAACCTTTTGGTTAGCAGCTGAATTAACCGTTGTGCCACCAGGGCTCCTTTATGGTAAGTCTCAAAATAAGGTAGTGTGAGTCCTCCAATTTTATTCCTTCGCAAATGATTTTTTAAATGACACATCAGTGTTTTATGTATAGAAACTGGTTATATTTTAATAAATGAAGCTTTAATTAAGAATAAGTTTTTTTTTTAAGACATTCTTCGAGAATTTTAAAAGTAGTAACTTTTGATAAACTTAGAGAGTTTTTAAAAACATTCATTGGACATTTCAATAATAGAAACTACATGCTGTGTAGGAAAAAATTTAAGACAGTTTATGTTTTATGGCCTCATGTCGGAATGACCTACTGGTAGTTTTAAATGTGTGCTTTTGCTAGGCTTCTGTGTAACAATCCAGATAATTTCACTATTAGCATATTAGTAATATTAATTAGTATTCTGCAGTTACCTTGATGGACTCAAAGGTAATAATGAGTAATGCTCTGAAAATTTGTTTCTGAGATGGTTCTTTGGAAATCACAATCCATTTTCCCTTAGAAACATTGTTGTACATGAGTGAGGAGTTTAGAAAGCCTGTTTAATTATTATGTAGCAGAACAGTGCTATTACTGTTTGTTGCTACTGTGTGCTGTCTAGTGAATTCTGGCTCATAGTGATCCTATAGGACAGAGTAGAATTGCCCTATAGAGTTTCCTAGGCTATAATGTTTATGGGAGCAGATCCCCAGGTCTTTTCTCCCGAGAAGCAACTGACCTTTTGGTTAGCAGCGGGGCTCTTAACCATTGTGCCACCAGAGCTCCTAGGTAACTACTAGTAATAGTATATTCTTTTTTTCTAG